TTTCTTTCTTTCTTTCTTTCTTTCTTTCTTTCTTTCTTTCTTTCTTTCTTTCTTTCTTTCTTTCTTTCTTTCTTTCTTTTTTTTCTTCAGACAGGGTTTCTCAGTGTAGTTTTAGTGCCTGTCCTGGATCTCGCTGTGCAGACCAGGCTGGTCTTGAACTCACAGAGATCTGCCTGGCTCTGCCTTCTGAGTGCTGGGATTAAAGGCGTGCGCCACCACTGCCTGGTGCTTTTGATTTTCTTACACTGGGCTTACACTCATCTATGTTGTTTTTCATGTTACAGTGGGAATCTTATGAAACAGACTAACTTGAAAAGTTATAAAAATACTGAAAGTATCTAACATACCACCCATTAATGCTGTTCTTCTCTTAGTGCCTTCACTGGCTACTCTGGCAGGGTGCTGATACCACACAGAAAACTGCAAGAGGATGGACAGCGGCTCACATAGCTGCAATCCGGGGTCAGGATGCCTGTATGCAGGTAATGATTTTGGTTACTGGTTTTTTTTCCCCCCTTTTAATTCAGTGAGTTCAGTTACTTTATCATTGCTCTGTTGGAATTTTACTCTTATTCTCTTTGATCCAACATGTGCAGTTATATGCTGTAAAGAGAGAATGACAGACAACAGCTAGCCACATCAATGATATGTGGCTGTAGATTCTTTAGTCTCTGAAGTAGTTGGGTTGTCTTGAGTGCTATCACAGTCATGACCAGAGACTCTTGTTGGTAGTTTGCTGCTGTGGTGCAGATGTTTGCATTGGGTAAGTCTGTTCAAATCTTAGCTCTCAAAGTTATGGGTGTTAACTTGAGAAGGTAGGCAGTAAGAGGAAAGAGAAAATACAGTAGTAACTTTTGGGAAATTAGGTCAAGTGAAGCTTTGCCGAATGTGTTCCTTCCAACAAGCATTAGCTCAAGCCACTCCTTGCACCCTGCTTCTCTTTTCTGCCCCCCAGTGGTCTCTTCCTTCTTAGAGCTTTTATGTTGTGTATTTTGGTGCTGTGCTGTGTGCTTGCTCCTCATCAAGGCCTTCTTTATGTAGTTGAATATGTATCCTTACAAATGTCCTGATTCCCTAGGTTGACAAGTTTTATTATTATTATTATTATTATTATTATTATTATAATTCTTAAAACACAGTAAGTACCCAGTATATCATTTATGACTGTTATTGGCCGGTTAGATTAGACAAGGTCATGAAGATTATTTTCTTTTAAAGCCCTTGGTAGGAATTATGACTGAGTAATCCTTTGCTAAGGTATTGGTAAATAAAGGCTGATTAAAAATGGAAATGCTGAGTGAGAAAAAAATAAAAAATATTGACTAGGAGGGAGTTGGGAGTGTAGCTGCATGATACAATGCAGGGGTAGCATGGTCAAGGCTCTGGGTCTAATCCTCAGTGCCAAAAAAAAGGAAAAGGTACTGAAAGTTCACTTGTAAAAATAGATTTTAATCTTTGGAGCTGTTGTAGGGTCAGCAAAATTGAGCAGAAGATACACAGATTTCGAATTGTTAGATTGATTTTCCAGCTGGTGGTTCTCTAGTGGTACACCATAATTACCTGACACCCATAATTTACACTGGAGTTCACTCTTGGTATTGTACATACTGTGCATTTGAACAAATTTATAAGGACACAGTTCTTGGCTTCTTTGCTTATTTTAGTGATAATGTCTCGATGTATAAGACAGGCTGGGCTTGAACTTGTGATCCTCCTGCCTCAGCCTTCCAAGTTCTAGGATTATAGTCACCAACATACCTGATGATCACTAATTTTTTTCATTGTTCTCTCATATATTGCATCTTGACTGCTGTTTCCCTTCCCTCCCCTCCCCTAGTCTCTATCCTACCTCCCCTCTTATCCAGCCCTCCCCCCTCCCCCTGCCACCTCCCTTCAGACAAGAGCTGGCCTCACAGGGATATCAACCAAACATGGCATAACAAGCTACAAGACGAGGCACATCAAGGCTGGACAAGGCAACATAGTAGGAGGAAAAGGGCCTCATAAGTAGGCAAAAGAGTCAGAGACCGCCCTCACCCCCCACCCCGCCCAAGGCTCCCTGATCTCTTCCAGCTCCCAAGAATCCTGGTCAAGTTAATTCTGGATCACTAATTTCCTTTAGTGCTGGGTATTTCATTGTCTGAATGTTTGTTGGTGTTCACCAACTCAAGGATATTTTTGTTGTTTCCAAATCTGACAATATGAATAAAGCTTATAAATATTCACTTTAAGATTTTCATTGAGCCGGGCGTTGGTGGCACATGCCTTTAATCCCAACACTTGGGAGGTAGAGGCAGGCAGATCTCTGTGGAGTTCGAGGCCAGCCTGGTCTACAAAGCAAGTTCCAGGAAAGGTGCAAAGCTACACAGAGAAACCCTGTCTTGAAAAACAAAAAAACAAAAACAAACAAACAAAAAAATGTCATTGAGCCTAAGTTTTCTATTTTATTATTAGGTATTTACCTAAATAACAAGAAGTGTGTGATTGTTGGGTTATGGTTATGCTAAGCTAAGGTTATGCTTAGCTTCCTAAGAGACACACCCCACTGTCTTCCAGAGTACTCAGCCTCTGGTTCCTCAGCCTTGCCAGCTTTTGTGTTGTCAGGGTTCTGGAGTTGGGCCATTCTAGTAAGTAGATAGTGGCATTTTATTGTTGTTTATATTTGCATTTCTCTGGTGACCTTTGATGTGGAGTAGCTTTTCATATGGTTATCATCTTTGGTCAGTGTCTGCTCTGAACTTTTTTTGGTATTATAGGAGAGTGATCTCAGGGTCTGCTGCAAGTTAAGGAGTTTACCACTGAGCTACA